TTAAATTAAATTAAAAATAAAATAAACATCTTAAAGAAATAATTTAAAAATAATAATATTTTTAAAAGAAATATTGACTCCTATCCATATATGTGGGGAATGATAGACTTAATCACAGTGAACCTGACTCTGCTCCCCTATTACTAAAATGACTTAATGAGATATAATACAAAAAAGAAAGGTTCTGTTTTGGCAAGAAGGAAAGGGCATTATGGTTCAGCACTTTCAAACTAACCTTAAAGGGTGCAATTAACATTTAAAGGAACTAAAGTTTTGGAAGTATTATAGAGTAATTGCACAAATGTAAAAAGTAGTTAAAAGCCCATTATCTGTTAGGGGAATTTCCTTCAGAGAGCAGTGACAGTCATCAGAAAGTGAATCCATGATGCATAAAAGATGAAGAAAAATCTGCCCGTTTGGTAACATAGTTATTGCTTGCCTCTTGGTTGTTTTCTTTGGGAATTTCAGCTCATTGCCATTTTCAAGGATGAAACTTTCATACTGACCCAGAATTGATCTTTCAAACACAGGTCTTGACATATTTGAAAGAAACTGCTCAGTAATAAGCAAGAGCAGTGGGAGGGAGAAATGCAAGGGCATATTTGCCTATCAGAGCCTAGTTTGTTAGAATCTAAGTTGTATTAAAAAATTATCAGTTCTAGCTTCTGCTTTTATGAAGAGCTTTTCCCTTACATTGTAGAGGGTGTCTGAACTCATCTTTGCAATTTATTTAGAGAATAAATATATATATATATATATATATATATATATATATATATATATATATATATGCAATGGTAGTTATCAATTAGGAACCTAAAGTCAAAAGCTATTTTTTTTGCCCTTTCAGGAATTTGACTCTTTTTTAAAGTCCCTAGATTAGATGTTTCTAGGTGTGTCAGGGAATAATGTACACATCCCATGATTTGTGTCGGTTTCCTTGTAGTAGCTGTGGGGTAATTTCTCTCATTTTCTGTTTTGAACCATCTCTGAGAGACAAGTGTAAACAGAGGCAGGGAGCTTCCCATTGGGCACAGCTGGTGTGTACTGAATCCCTGTTGCTGCCAAAGGTATGGGGTGTTCTGTGGTGTTCTCTGGCGAAGTGTAGAGATGTGCTTCTTCCTTTTTCTCCTTTTTAAACATACTTGATTAGAGGGTACCCAAGCAGTGCCTATCACATAGCTTTCCTTTCCACAGCACCCAGATATATGACTGTGTGGGTAGACCATGCTTGGAGACACATCCATGAAATAAATATGCTGTACTCAGAATCACCCCTATCCTTTCCACAATGCAGGCTTTTTTTTCCAATGGACATAGCCTGATCCTGGGGTACACACTGCCCTTTCATTACACAGGAGACTTCTCTCCCAGGAGGCCTCTTACTCCACCGTACAAATAGACTTCTGGCAGATTCCTTGGTCTGTCCACATTAGTCTCAAACTGCGCCTTGAATACCTCCATTTTCTCATTGTTTTCTCTTGATATGATTTTGATTTGTAGTTGAAGGAGAGTAGAGGGAAATAAGTAGTTCTATGTCTTTCTTTTGTCTTCTTAACCTCCTTCCTCCTCTATTCAGGAAATTATGGGCATGAGAACATTAATGCTCCATCTTAAACTACATCTTTGTCTATAAAGTTTAGTATCTATGCACATATGTAAAAATAGGTATATTTAAGCATTGGCTGTGATAGCCACTTGCAACATGGTATTAGAGGTAGCTAACTCATTCAGCAATGAGTGGTGTAAGTAATCAGTGCCTGTTACATGTGTGACAGAATGAGTTTTATTCCTAAACTTATTTGCAAATAGAAACTACTAAACACCGGCACTTATATCAGCTTGTAACGTGGTCATAAAATTGTGTCCAGACTCAGAATACATCTGAGCCCACTGAATGTGTTAAATATTTCATATAGCTGAACAGAGAAAGAAAACATATGTCACCTACTAGGGAGCTGACATCCCAAAAATTAGTTAACAGGTTCCCTAGGTGGAAGAAAAACAAAAGAACACCTTTCACATTCTGACCTAAAATTCTATTTTAAGCTTGATTCATTCTCTGATACTTTTATTCACAGTTAACGTTGAGATGGAAAGTTTAAAATATGTGAAATTGATATATTTTTGTACTTTTAATAATGTTCTTTATATTTCCAATTTAGTTTCCCAGTAATAAATATTATGCAAGTTGCCAAAATGATTATTTATTTTTCTTAATAACATACTCAGGAAACATCCCATTAACAGAAAAAAAATTACAAAACAATTGAATAATTTACATACAACCAAAATATTCAGAAAAAGTGGAAATAAAACCTTGGTATTCACTTCAATTTTATTATATAAAATATAATGATATTAGTGAAGTAAAATAATGGATGCTCTTAATTTCATTTGATTATAGGTGTATGTTGTTATATCAATATCAGTATTTCTTTAAAATGAGAAGCCATGATATTTGAAATATTTAGTCTGATTAGTTACACAATGGGTTCCATTGTAGGTCTAAAGCTTAATGGAAGTGGAAATGGAAAATTGAGTGATATGGGACACAAAATAAATGGAGAGAACAAAAACAAACAGTAGAACATAATACAGCTTTTCCCCCCTGAACCTTATGCTATATATCGCCTACTCAGTATTTTTAATGTGGAAAATCTGTAACATAAAATGTATCACTTACTCATTTTTAAGTGTACAGTTTGCATTAAGTATATGTACATTGTTGTTGAACCATAACTACTATTTCCAGACTTTTTCATCATCCCAAACAGAAACAATGCACATTTTAAGCAGCAACTCCCCATTCTCCTCTGCCCCCAAGCCCTGGTAACCTCTCTTCTACTGTCTTTAAGAATGTGTCTCTTCAACAAGTGCTGGTGAGGTTGTGGAGAAAAGGGGACCCTAGTACACTGTTGGTGGGAATGCAGACTGGTGCGGTCACTCTGGAAAACAATATGGAATTTCCTCAAAAAGTAAAAATGGAACTGCCTTTTGACCCAGTAATTCCACTGCTCGGATTACACTCTAAGAATCCTGAAACACTATTCAAAAGAACATGTGCACCCCAATGTTCATAGCAGTACAATTTACAATAGCCAAGTGCTGGAAGCAACCTAAGTGCCCATTAGTAAATGAGTAGATAAAAAATATATGGTACATTCACACAGTGAAATACTACACAGAAGAAAGAAAGAAGGAGCACATACCCTTCACAACAGCATGGATGAACCTGGAGAGCATTGTGCTAAATGAAATAAGCCAGGGGGCGAAAGACAAATACCATACGATGTTACCTATAAGTAGAACCTAATCAACAAAACATACAGACAAGCAAAATATAACCAGAGGCATTGAAATAAAGAACAAAGTAAGTAACCAGAGGAGGAGAGAGAGAGGGATAATGGGGGAAAATAGGGGAAAAGTCGTCAAGGAACATGTATAAAGGACACATGGACAAAGACAATGGGGGTAGTTTCAAGGATGGGGGGTGGGAATGGGTAGGGTGGGGGGAAGTGGTGGGGGGAAATGGAGGCAAGTATGCTTGAAAAGCAATTTAAAAAAATTTGTCTCATGTAGATACCATGGATAAGTGGATTCATACAATAGTTGTCCCATTGTGTCTATCTTTCATGGTCCATGGATGATTTAGCATGTACCAAAGCTTCATTTTCTGACAATAATATTTTTGTATGTATAGACCACACTTTATTAATTTATATGTTGTCAGACAAATGGGTTGTTTCCACCTTCTGGGAATTGAATATGATACTATGATTGTTTTTGTACAAGTATTTGTTTGAGACACCGTTTTCAGCTTTTTTTTGTTTTATCCCAGGGATTGAATTGTGTGCTCATATGGTAATTCTATGTTTAATTATTGAAAAACCGCCAAATTGTTTTAAGAAGTGGCTGAACAATGTTATATTCTAGCCATCAATGCATGAGGATTCCTATCATTCCACATACTCACCAACAATTGATATCCGCCCCCCACTTTTTAATAATGACCATTCTAGTGGGTATGAAATGGTATCACATTGTGGGTACTTTTAAAAATGTTACCATAAATGGAATTGTTTTATTAATTTCCTTTTAGATTATTCTTTGCAAGTGCATAGAAATGCAACTAACTGATTTTTGTGTGCTGATTGTGTATCCTCAAATTTTGCTGAATAGATTTATTAACAATAACAGGGTTTTTGGGTGGATTACTTAGTGTTTCCTACATATAAAATCATTATCATCTACAAACAGAGACGGTTCTTTTCTTCCTTTCCAATCTGGATGCCTTTTACTTCTTTTTTCTGCCTAATTGTTCTGATCAGAATTTCCAAGTCTATGATGAACATAAGTGGTTAAAGGAGGCATCCTTGCTTTGTTGCTAATCTTAGCAGGTAAACTTTCAGTCATCACTATTGAGTAGGATGCTAACTGAGTTTATCATATGTGAACTTTATCATCTCGAGAAATGTCCCTTTTATTCCTAGTGTAAACAATATTTTTATCAGAAATGTGTGTTAGATTTTGTCAAATGCTTTTTATGCATCAGTTGAAATAATCATGTGTATTTTTTCTCCCTTTGTTCTATTAAAGCAGTGTAGTGCATTGATTAGTTTTCATATATTGAACTACCCATGCATTTTGGGGTAAATCCCCCTTTATTATGGTGTGCAATCCTTTTAATATGCTGCTGAATTCAGTTTCCAAGTATATTTTGAGGAATTTTAAATCTGTATTTGCAACTGATCAAACAATGGGGTCCTACCACTTGCACCAACAGGCAAAAACTCTGAAGGCAGAATTCAGTAGAAAGGGAAAGGAATGTTTTATTCAAAGGCTATACCGTTTGAAATAATGGCAAGATTCTGACTCAAAGCTTGTTTCCTGAAGACACCCAAAGACTATCACCCTGCCACCCTTGACAAAAATAGAGCTGACAGTAAAATATAGCTATCTGTTCTTGATACTACACGTGGAAACTCTTTGTCAAAAAGCTACATCTTCTTAATCTGATTGTCCAAATCATTAAAATATGGATGATTCAGTGCCATTTTGCCAGAAATTCGTTTGGCAGGATCGTACACCAACATTTTCGAGAGCAGATCCAAGCCATTTTCATCCAAGTTTTTGACATGGGATGCTAGACTTCCTGGTTTCCACTTAGAAAATGTATTCTTATAGTCCTGTAAAGATTCCACGTCTCGCCACACTTCGTTGTTGGGGGTACCCAAAGCTCTGAAAATTCTGAAGAGTTGATCAATTTCTGAATCTCCATGGAAAAGTGGTTTCTTAGTTGCTAATTCAGCAAATATGGTGCCTATACTCCAAATGTCAACTGTAGTTGAATAGCGAACTGACCCCAGCACTGATAGGGTTTGGTATGAACCTGCAAGCAATCAGGTTATTATGGTCTCTGTGCAGTCAGCCCTCTCTGCTAATGATAATCTGTATTTGCAGCCTTCCCCCCCAGCACTAGCATCACAATCTCAGCTACACCTCAGATCATCAGGCATTAGATTCTCATAAGGAGTATGCAACCTAGATCCCTCACATGTGCAGTTCAAAGTAGGGTTCGCGCTCCTATGTGAATCTAATGGTGCCACTAATCTGACAGGAGACGAAGCTTGGGCAGTAATGCAAGTAATAGGGAGCAACTGTAAATGCAGATGAAGCTTCGCTTGCCTGCCACTCACCTCCTGCTTTGCAGCCTGATTCCTAACATGCCACGGGCCAGTACTGGGTTGGTGAACCCTGCCCTAGAGGAACTCAGGGACGCAGTGGTGTTGAGGAATGGAATATGGTATCTGTTTCATGCATGTCATTCTCTTAGCAGAGAACAGCAGTTTCTTTCTTCCTGAAACACCTTTTTATAAGTATTCAGTCAGGTCCTAGACTTTTGAAAGTTTATTGTGAGGGTGGGTAGGGCAGGGGAAAATGGTGGTGGATAAATGGAGACAAATGTATTTGAACACTAAAAAAATTAAAAATAAATAAAGAATATAGCAAAACAATAAATAAATCACTATTTTTAGCTCACTGATTACATTACTGAAGGTCCAATCCCGCGAAGTTCCTCCTCTGCCGTTTTGTGCCAATCCTTACTTTCTTTTTTTTTTTTTATTTATTTTTTCAAATACATTTGTCTCTGCCTACCCCACAACACTTTCCCTTGCCCCCTCCCTCCTTCCCTCCCTCAGCTCTTCCCCTTTAGTTTTCTCCATGAGTCCTTGATATATGTTCCTTGACTTTCCCCTTCCCTTCCTTTTCCCCGGCCCCCCCTCCCTCCTTCCCCCTTCATCTGTTGGTTTCTCTTCCTTTCAGTGTTGCTGGTCTTAATTTCCTTACATCTTTGTATTGTTGGTTAGGTTCTACTTATAGGTGAAATCATATGGTATTTGTCTTTCGCCCCCTGGCTTATTTCCTGTAGCATAATTCTCTCTAGTTCCATCCATGCTGTCGCGAAGTTTAGTAGTTCTTTATTTTATCTGCTGCATAGTATTCCATTGGGTAAATGTACCATAATTTTTTGATCCAATCATCTACTGATGGGCATTTGGGTTGCTTCCAACACTTGGCTTTGTAAATTGTGCTGCTATAAATATTGGGGTGCATAGGTTCTTCTGTATTGGCGTTTTGGGATTCTTAGGGTATAGTCCCAGCAGGGGAATCACTGGAAGAAAGAAATTAAGGATGACACAAATAAATGGACGCATATACTATGCTCATGGATTGGAAGAATCAATAGCATCAAAATGTCCATACTACCCAAAGCTATTTATAGATTCAACGCAATCCCTATTAAGATACCAATGAAGTATTTCACAGAAATAGAGCAGACATTTCAAAAATTTATATGGAACCAAAAACGACCCCGAATAGCCACAGCAATTTTGAGAAAGAAACACAAAGTAGGAGAGATCACAATACCGGGCATCAAACTCTACTACAAAGCCACTATACTCAAAACAATCTGGTACTGGCACAAGAACAGATCCATAGACCAGTGGAACAGATAGAACGCCCAGAAATAAGATGAGCATCCTTTCAAATATCTCTGGGCCCTCTGTATCTCCTCCTTGGAAGAGTGACTGCCCAGGTCCTTTGCCCATTTTTTGACTGGATCGTTTGTCTTCTTGGAGTGGAGTCGAGTGAGTTCTTTATATATTTTGGAGATCAAACCTCTATCTGATGTATCATTAGCGAATATATTTTCCCATTCAGTTGGCTCCATTTTCATATTGCTGATGTTTTCTTTCTCCATGCAGACGCTTCTTATTTTGATGAGGTCCCACTTGTTTATTCTTTCCTTCATGTCCCTTGCTTTAGGAGACATACCAGTCAAAAAATTGCTGCGTGGGGTATCTGAGAGTTTCCTGCCAATGTTCTCCTCTAGGACTTTTATGGAGTTGCGACTTATATTCAAATCATTTATCCATCTTGAGTTTATTTTTGTGTATGGTGTCAGCTGATCATTTTTTTGCATCTACTCGTCCAGCTCTCCCAACACAATTTGTTGAAGAGGCTCTTATTGCTCCATTTTATGCTTCTGCCCCCTTTGTCAAATATTAGATGCCCATAGCAACCTGGGCTTATTTCTGGGCTTTCTATTCTGTTCCACTGGTCTATGGGTCTGTTCTTGTGCCACTACCAGATTGTTTTGAGTATGGTGGCTTTGTAATAGAGTTTGATGTCCGGTATTGTGATTCCTCCTACTTTGTGTTTCTGTCTCAAAATTGCTGCGGCTATTCGGGGTCGTTTATGGTTCCATATAAATTTTTGAAATGTCTGTTCTATTTCTGTGAAATACGTCATTGGTATCTTAATAGGGATTGCATTGAATCTATAAATAGCTTTGGGTAGTATGGACATTTTGATGATATTGATTTTTCCAATCCATGAGCACAGTATATGCTTCCATTTATTTGTGTCTTCCTTAATTTCTTTTTTCAATGTTAGATAGTTTTCTGCATACAGGTCTTTTACCTCTTTGGTTAAATTTATTCCTAGGTACTTTAGTTTTCTTGTTGCTATATAGAATGGTATGTTTTGTTTTTTTTTCCCCTGATTTCTTCTTCTTCTATTACATTGCTGGTGTACAAAAATGCCTTTGATTTCTGAATGTTGACTTTGTATCCTGCTGTTTTGCCAAATTCACTTATTAGGTTGAGCAGTTATTTGGTATAGTCTACAGGGTTCTCTATGTATACTATCATGTCATCTGCAAACAATGAGAGCTTTCCTTCCTCCTTTCTTATTTGGATGCCTTTTATTTCTTTTTCTTGTCTGACCGCTGTGGCTAGGACTTCCAATACAATGTTGAAAAGAAGCGGTGAAAGAGGACATACTTATCGTGTTCCCCATCTTAGTGGGAAGGTTTTCAGTTTTTGCCTGTTGAGTATGATGTTGGCTGTAGGTTTTTCATATATGGCCTTTATTACATTGAGGAATGCCCCATTTATTGCCATTTTGCTGAGTGTTTTGATCATAAATGGGCGCTGTACCTTATCGAATGTTTTTTCTGCGTCTATGGAGATGATCATGTGTTTTTTGTCTTTTCTTTTATTCATGTGATGTATTATGTTTATTGAGTTGCATATATTGATCCATCCCCGCATGCCTGGGATGAATCCCACTTGATTGTGGTGGATAATCTTTTTAATGTATGGCTGGACGTGGTTTGTCAATATTTTGTTGAGGATTTTAGCATCTATGTTCATCAGCGAAATTGGCCTCTAGTTTTCTTTCTTTGTAGGGTCTTTATCTGGTTTTTTGATTAGAGTGATGCCGACCTCATAGAAAAAATCTGGGAGTCTTCCCTCCTCTTGGATTTTTTGGATTAGTCTGAGAAGGACAGGGGTTAGCTCTTCCTTAAGTGTTTTGTAAAATTCTCCTGTGAAACCGTTCGGCCCTGGGCTTTTGTGTGCCAGGAGTATCTTGATGACTGCTTGAATTTCCCCAGCTGTAATCGGTCTGTTCAAGCTTTCTGTTTCTTCCTCTTTCAGTGTTGGAAGATTATACTTTTCTAAAAATTCGTCCATTTCATTAAGATTTTCAAATTTCTTGGCATATAATTGTTCATAGTAGTTTCTGACAATCCTTTGTATTTTTGTGGTATCAGTTGTTATTTTTCCGTTTTCATTTCTGATATTATTCATTGGGGTCCTCTCCCTTTTTGTCTTGATGAGTCTGCTTAAGGGCTTGTCAATTTTATTTATCTTTTCAAAGAACCAGCTTCGGGATTGGTTGATCCTTTGAATTGTTCTTTTCATCTCTATGCCATTCAGTTCTGCTCTAATCTTGACTATTTCCTTCCTTCTCCTTGCTCTGGGATTTATTATTTGTTGTTTCTCCTATTCTTGAAGTTGTAGTGGTAGGTCTTTTATTTGAAATGTTTCTATCTTTTTTAGGTAAGCCTGTATTGCTATGAACTTCCTTCTCAGGACCGTCTTTGCTGTGGCTCATAGGTTTTGGACTGTTGTCTGTTCATTTTCATTTGTTTCTAGAAAATTTTTTATTTTTTCTCTTATCTCATTATTGACCCATTCATTGTTTAATAGTGTACTGTTCAGTCTCCGTGAGTTTGCAGGTTTTTGAAGTTTCTCTTTGAGATTGTTTTCCAGTTTCAAGCCCTTGTGGTCCGAGAAAAAGTTTGGTATTATTTCAGTTTTCCTGAATTTGCTGAGGTTTGCTTTGTGTCCTATCATGTGGTGTATCTTTGAAAAACTTCCATGAGCATTTGAAAAGAATGTGAATTTTTCTTCTTTGGGATGTCAGGTTCTATATATGTCAGTTAAGTCTCTTTGATTCGGTGTGTCTTTCAGCTGCACAATATGTTTATTAATATTTTGTTTTGAAGATCTGTCCATTTTTGACAGTGGGGTGTTGAAATCCCCTACTTTCAGTGTGTTGCTGTCTATATCTTTTTTGAAGTCATCCAACAATTTCCTTATATACTTGAGGGCTCCTATATTCGGAGCATATAAGTTTACAATGTTTATTTCTTCTTGATAAATTCTTAATCCTTACTTTCTTAATTCTTTGTTTCTTGCTTTTTTCCCTTTTATATGTCTTTTTAAATCCCATACAAGTGTCCAAAAGATTGGCTGCAGGATAATGTAATAAAAATAATTAAAGCTATACAAATGTGCAAGATAAACCAGGTTGAGAAAAACTAATCAATTTTGATTCTCTTATATATCAGACTTGAGTGTGCATCAGATTGCATCACTTTTACTTGATTCTCCGTTAAAGCGAAATTTAGTATGTAGTTAAATACAGATATGGTAAGTAATGGGAGATTATTTTTACCTAGTTGGTGTGATTTATAAGATTGGAAAGATTTCAAGTTTTACCCATATGAAGAGTACAGTTGATTATTTAATATTATTATTTTTATTATCATTATTACACGAGTTAATTTCTTCATAGTGTTTTTTCTGTTTTCTTTATGTATTGCCTGATTTTATTGACGGAACACTAAGTTTAAAAATCATTTTATATATTTAAGACCCATAAGGTCAGTCTCTTTATTTCTATGTGATGCCATGTAATGCAGTATGATCTTTTCATTTAACTTTTATACAATGTATTGCATAGTAACTGACTATATATGTGTGTGTGTGTGTGTATATATATTTATTCACATTAAATTTCAGTTCATTTTTGGTTATGTTTTTAGCAAGAAGGTATGAAAACAGTACAGTATAACAGAATCACAATCTGGAAGTTATCTACTATCCCATTTTATCACTGTTAGAATTATTAATGCATGCTTAATAATTCTAAATATAAAATATTAAACATTTATACTTTATTTTTTTTAGAACCTTGTGAAACATCTTCCTGAACAGAAGGCACTCAATGAATTGGCACAGCTGAAGGATGAGTATGATGACCTCTGTGAGCCTGAACAATTTGGAGTCGTGGTACGTACCCATTATTAGGGCCCGCGACCTCAACTTATCAGTAACGATTAGAAACAGTGAAAAGAAAGACTTTTTTTTCAATTGTTGATATTTGTGTTACTATATAGCTACATAATTTAGTATATTATTAGCTGTCAGGCCAAAAAACTTGTTTATTATTATTTGTGATGGTATTGAAAAATAAAGAAATTAATATTTATATCTTATAAAATGTTTCAAAGTATCTCATGGAAACTCCTCCATACCAGTGCTGATATTTAATGGTATTAATATATAAAAATATATATATTGATATATTGGATGTTTTCTTCTATTTAGATTGTGAGGTTAGAATTTATAACCCCCCCAAAAAATTAGGCTTATAAAAACAGTACTAATTAAATAAATAACTATATTTTAGACATTTTTTGTGGTATATATTACATCAGAAAAAGGAAGAGAATTTTCAGATTTCCTATTGTGTGTGATTAATTTATTAAAAGCTTTAAATACACTTGTTTCAAGTGGTAGGAGAATCTCATATATACACATCATGCTTTAGTGCGGTTAAGTCAGTATTAAAGTGTATTATGTTTTCTTACCCCCTCCATTTTAAGGGGTACAAAAGATATCTAGGTATAAATTGCTGTTTTCCATCTGTCTACTAAGATTTAAAATTATCATGAGACCTAAAAGTCAAACAGTGTCTGATTCATCCAAAATATTTTATAACCTTTTTAATATTAATATATTTGAATTTCTCTGATTTGGTACTTTGCAATTTAAAAATGAAGGAAATGCCCTGGCTGGTGTGGCTCAGTGGATTGAGTGCAGGCCTGTGAACCAAAGGGTTGCCAGTTTGATTCCCAGTCAGGCACATACTTGAGTTGCAGGCCACGTCCCCAATGAGGGGGGTGCGTGAGGGACAACCACACATTGATGTTTCTCTCCCTCTCTTTCTCCTTCTCGCCCCCTCTCTAAAATAAGTAAGGGAAATCTTAAAAAATAAATAAAAATCAGTGTAAAATGCAAATGCCTGTAAGAGGAATCTAATGAACAAAATTAACAATCAAAATAGATCCAAAGTAATGGAAACAGGGAGCAGACTGACAGTGAGCAGAGGGGAGGGGGAAAGAGGACAATGGTGGGAAGAAGGGGAAGGGACTAGACAAAGGACATGCATGAACAACCCACGGACATGGACAACAGAGTGGGGATTGACTGTGGAAGTGGGGGGTGGGCTAGGTGGAGGAGGGCAAAGGGAGGAAAAATGTAATAGAACAACAATAAAAATGATTCAATAAAATAAATAATAAAGTCCTATGTAAAGTCAAATTATGATAGATGGGACAGAGAATGTTTCTTCTGAGCATGTGCATTAACTGCTTGCCCATATTTAGAGTTTATTAATTCTCAGATATAGCATTTCATACTGATCTACAAAGATTCTTTCAAATCCTTGAAAAGCACATCAGGGATGTATATTTGGGATAAGATAGAGCATGTAAATGTAACTGAGGAAGATATTTTTGTCATTTTTTATTTAGATGCATTAATCTGAACTGGAAAGTTATTATTTATTAAACAGCAGCACTTGAGTACAATATTAATTAATGACATTTTCAAGGCTGTAGTTCTCACTTAAATCCTAAGCTGCTTGAATTCATATTACAATTGAAGCTAGGCTATGTACCACCTGATAATTCAGCTGTGCCATGATCATTATGACTTTTACAGTAGGTACACTACACAATTTCTTTTAAGGCATTTTTTTCTGAATGTAGTTTATCTTGGAAGATGTATTAGTTTTCCAGGCAAGTCCTTCATGAGGAATATCCTTGGTACCATGCCGTGGAAATGAAGTTTGGAGACATAAAAACCAATATACCTTTTGAACTTGAAGCAAAATAGAAAATGGAAGAGATTCCTTGTTTATGCACATAACCATAAATAATTCTGGGACTGTGTACATGAAGTCACCTGGTCTTCTTATTTGTTCTCCCCATGCTTAGCCACATGACTAGAGGGGGAAAATGGCAAGGACATTACAAAGTAGTTTATTCTATGTGAGTGAGTTTTCTAAGGCAGTATCAATCAGTATTTACCACATAAATTTAGATAAGCTTACATATTCCAGAAAGATATTTGAAATAATGATATGCCTTAGTCTTTTAAGCATGCTTGCTTTGCAGTGCTTGGGATAGACCTTCTATACAATAGACAACTGATAAATGTTTATTGAATTGAATTATAGACAATTATTAAACCCAGGTGTGAGCCTGAGATTAAAAATGGCATATGTTAGATCTGTAAAAGTGGAAATTATGCTAAAACCTATTCCTCATGGTATGTGTTGAAATCCAGTTCACTTCTGTGTGGATATACCTGAATATCCTTTAGCCCTCAATTTTTATCAACAGCGTACATTTAGGATAACTTTGGAAATGGATATAGAAT